GTGTGTGTGTGTGTGTTTGTGTGTAGTGTGTGTGTGTGTGTGTGTGTGTGTGTGTGTGCAAGCGTGTATGCGTGTGTGGGTGTGTTCGGGGGGGTCTTGAGCGGCGCACGCGCCGGCGCGGCGAGCGTCGAAGGCTTCGGCCCGACCGCTGCAGGCGCCACGCCCCCCGCGCCGCCGCGGGGGGCGAGCCCGTCCGCAGCAACCCCATCAGAGCCCCGAAGCCTGGCCCATCAGCGCTCGCTCGACGCCGCCCGCATCCACGGCGCCCCCCGCGGACCCACCTGTGCAAACAGCCGGATGAAGTCCAGCTGCGCCCGCGGCAGCGTCACGCGCGCGGGGTCGCACATGGCCGAGACGGGCAGCCCGTGCTCCGCCTCCCGCTCGCCCTGCTGCAGGAACTCTGCCACGACGCGCTCGGCCCAGGCGGCAGCCAGGGGGAAGGGGCGGGCGGGGTTCGCCAGGTCAGCGAGGTGGACCAGCACCTGGTGGGTGGGGGGTGGTTGAGTGGGTGATTGGTTGGTTGGTTGGTGTATTGCGCTTGTGCGTACGAGCACGGGCGTACGTGCACGCATATGTGTGTGCATGTGCATGTGTGCGAGCGCGCGCGCGTTTTGTGGGCAAGGGGTGACACAGGCGGCCTGCGAGGCAAGCCCCTCACCACCTCCCTATCAACCCGAATTTGGCACCTCAACCCCCCATGCTGGACCGCTGCTGCGCGCTCCGCGCGCCGCCCTGCCCCCACCTGCAGCAGGAGCGCCCTGTCCTTGTCGCCCCACAGCCGCACGTCGGGGCAGGCCTGCGCGCAGACGGGCCGAGCGCACACGGATGTAAGGCGCGCACTAGTTTGAGGTGCGGTCGGTCAGGCGCACGCCAGACTGGCGGCCGCAAGCGCGCTCGCGACGCAAGCAGCACGTGTCCATGGGCGCCCAACAAGCGGCCACCCGTTCGGCCCGCAGAGCAGAGCCGGAGCCTCGCGCGAGCGCCGCCGCTGGCGCCCCGCCGCCCCACCGCCC